TCAAAACCTGTCAGCACTGTGAGAGGTGGCGCACCTTAGTCAGGCACTTTCTGCTTAATGCAAAATGATACTTAAAAGTTACGATTCCAACCACAGCTGCTTAATTCAGAAAACTCAAGTCTAGAAGGGTAAGGGGACATTCCAATAACCTTCCAAGATGTTGCTACTTATGCAGACTCACCAAGAACTCACAAGCAAAGAAACGTTGAGGGGATCAGAACTAATTTGATCTCTGAAAGGCAAGTGCTGGATGCAAAACTGCAAATGTTAACTGCCTCCACAAAGTCCACCTCCAAAAGGGTAGCTCTCCCGGCCACGTCACCAGTGGCCTCATTTCCAGAGGTGCAAGGCACCATTCGACAGCAATGTCACTGTTTGCTACCATGGGAAAGTTGAGCTCTTCACCTCTCTGTTTTAGCTTACTTATTGTGGTTCATGCTTATCTGCCTGCCGTGAATGTCGTGACGTTTAATTAGTTTTGGTCTGTAAAACACACTGAGATCCCCCGGAAAAGCGGTATATGCATTCGCAGTAGGATCCCTGCAAGATAATGTTCTTGGCATCCCCAGAGTAACCAGCACAAGCAGCCAGAGGACAACTCCAAAAACGAGGTACTCGAAGCACTAAGTTGTCTGTAATCCCAGTCTCTGTCTGGAGGATCAAAAGTTTCAGGGGCAGCATTTTAGTGCAACACATGCTAAAACTGATGTGGGAGTTAATAGCGGTTTTACAGAAGAGCACTGGCAAAACCATTCTCATCAGCATCTTTCAGCAAAAAGAAAGAAAGTAAAATAAAAGCCTACCTTAAAACGGAAATATTGGGGGGGGGGGGAATGGAAATCAACAACACTAACAAAAGCACCATATGGGTTTTTTAAATATCCCAAACAGCTTAAAGTTGCCCAGACTTCTGTATTCATTAATTGCTCAGGACACAGATTTATTTATTTATGGCTCAGAAAAGAATTCTCAGCTCGGAGGCTTTCCAAAGAACAACCCTCCCCAGTTCTGCATGGCCACCTCGGCCAACTCGCCCTGCCGTTTCTTATTCTGATGCTAATGCAGTTCAAACAACCCAACCCTGCATTTTTAATCTATGCAATAAGCCTATCTCCTATCTTTAGGTCACTTAGTTGTGTCAGTTTAAATCACGACATTCCCATAGAGCAAAACCTGATCATTTTATTTACATTTGAGGACAGAGAAGGCAGAAGAAAAAAAAGTTCATTATAAAAATGCTTTTTTTGTTTGTGGTGTCTAATTCAAGCCCCACTGAAATCTGCATGAATTTAAACAGCAGTTGAACCATGAGAAACAACACATTTTAATTAAGACTTGCACAGCTACCTTCAAGATAGGATACCCTGAAAATATCTATCCATGCACAGGCATATCATATTATATAATTATATATATTATTAGGTCTTATCCAAACTCTGCTGGAATAAAGGCCGAGATCCCATTGATTTCGGTGGGCTTCAGATCTCTCTCTCTTTTGTAAAATAAGCCTGGACGCTGCCACTCCGGTTTTCACAGGCGTCCGCATGGGGATATTCACAGGGCTTCTCACAAGAGGGAAAACCATGAAGTTGAAGCCATCCATGAAAGGTACTGGATTTATTCCAGATGTGGAACTGTTTTTAATTAATTGGAAGCATTTGAAGTATTCGCTCATTAAATATGCTTTGCATTTCACACATGCACGTAAGAGAGTAAGAAAACTGAAAGCCAAAATCGTAATGTCTTATTAAAAAGACTCTGACACCACTTTTAGCAAAATTAGGCTTGCGTGAAGACAAGAGTTACAGCACTGACATAACACACCACACCAATATGCAAAGCATGTGGTTCTTGCGCTGCTCATCCCCAGGAAACCTCACCTTGACCCGGAGGACTCGCTGGCTGGGAGCTCTCCCACCGCCACTCAGCCCTGCACCGCTCCGCACGGGAGACTTCCCGGCGTGCCCAGCCCCATCGCCAAGTGCCATACTTTAAGTTCGAGGTCTCTGTCCTCTAGACGAGGATGAAACAACTTATGGTACATCTATGTGCCAAATCAATATTACCAGTAAAACTTTTGCATATGATCATACAGAAGCAGATTTAAGCAGCCAAGAAGGGAAGACAGACAATTCCTTCGACTTCTGAGGTCTCGAGCCAATGCCTACCAGCCACCTGTCACCATTCAACTCCAATTAAAGCAATCTATGAGCGTACCGCAGTCATCTACAGATGCGAGAAGCAAACGAAAACTTACGGCCTCCCGCTTCTGTCAAGTTCACAGCAAAAAAGCTCCACCACAGAGACACAAGAGTGAATTTGGACGCCTGCACCAAGGCTGGGCCCGCTCCCATCCGAGCCAGGCAAGAAGGAGGTCATGCACAGCGACGGTCCGGCAGGTCCACACGCAAAAAAACGCAGACGAAGCCTAGACACGTTTCTGCTATCCCTAAACTCGTCACGGGCTGCCATCCGCCCCAGAAGCGTGGTGCTCCTTGAGGACCAGGACCCGCGCCGGCCCATGCTCCGCCCCACCGGACCGCTGCTGGATGCTCCCAGCACCCAGAGGACCCAGGTTGGGTCAGCTCCCCCCACCCCCCCCTGCCACCCCCCCCCCCAGCATCCCCGTGGGTCCGTGGTACTCCGCGGCAGCAGACACCCGCGGAACGCAGCTCTCGTCTCCCCTCTAGCGGCTGACCCACGGCAGCCGCTCGCGTGTCTTCTGCTGCCGCTGCCAACGCCGAAGGGCTGGAGCGTGTCCCCACCACAGGCTGAGCTTCTCCCTCGCCGGAGCCCGGGCTCGGTGCCACGGGCAGGCAGGGATGGTGTTGCCCAGGGAAGAGGGACAAGGCAGAAAGGGGAGCATCTGGGCAGAAGGGCGGCTCTTCTGCTCCCGCGGGGAGCCCCAGACTCCCGGGTTTGAGATGAGGTGAGCGAAATCGCCGCGTAGGGCGAAGAACCACAGCTGGGTTCAGAACACGGTTGTGTTCTTTATTATTTCTCAGAGACCCGAAAGAATCAGGTATCTGGTGACTACGAAACGCTCAAAACTTTTCCTGCCCGAAGACTAAGTTTTATATCCGACAACAATGGTTTTGTCGCCAAGGGTCAAAATTAATTCTAGTGATCACCAGACAAGTCAGTCTCTTAATGATCTCTAATCAATTTTACCAGCGCTACCAAACTGCATGTGATGGTCTCCTGTTCAAAACCAGCATACAAACATTAAAAAAACCCCAAACTTCACATTTCTTCACAAGTCATCTTTCCCCCCCCCCCCCCCCCAAACACAACAAC